ACCCCACGGGGTGAGATCTTGCGTGGAGCCCCAGATCGAGGGAGATTATCAGTGGTCTTGTATGCATAAAATGCCCATTAAAGATTATAAATCAATATTATTCGTTTAATACATACTAAAAATAATATATATATATATATAAAATTCATATAACATCACATTTTACACACATACTAGGGCTGTGCGATATTGAAGAAAAATGTGATATGCGATAACCTAGTTAAAAAATGCGATATTCGATACGATATTGCATTAAGTGTGTAAAATTTAATTTCAATTATATTTTAAAATATTAACAATTTAAATTATAATCAATTTTTCTCATTCTTTCTTGGAAAAGAAAGAATCACTACAACTTCTAAAAGTGACCAGCAGTGTTTTAGCATTACATGAAAAGTAATGTCACAAATCAGAAAATGTAATTTAACATCAATGTGAACATAAAATTTAATAAGTGTAAGATAACACTGCATAGTGTTCACTGTATGAATTTAATTTAGATTAATCTTTGTTATAGCCGTTTTGTTGTTTGACTAACATTAGTGACATATTCAGCAGCAAGTATTTATAGGCTGCTGTCCCTTTAAATTCGACTGCACGGATCCAGTATAATGATACACATCCGATTTCTTTCTCAGCGGTTTACATTCATTGAAAACATAACCGACTGCGTTTACGAGAATGATCGTCGAGACGGGTACTATTGACAATTCTGTGTATCCGTCTGTTCAAACATGAGGAGATGCGAGAGACGAATCAACTCGGTCTGAAACGCGTCTCTCTGTGTGCGTGCGCTTCGCACGTGTGCGGCAGAACTGAAGAGACGCTGCGCGAGATGCGGCTTGACGGCAAAGAGTTGTTTTCTGCAAGTTATTGCACTTAACTCTTTTTAACGTCAAGCAATCCTCTGCTATATGCGTCTAACTAAAACTTTGACCTTTTGCAACGTTTTGATTTAAGTAGCCTATTATTAAAACGATTCAGATATCGCACGCCCTTGCGATATGCATATTGCGATATTTACATTTGCCATATTTCGATATATCGTGCAGCCCTAACACACACACATAAAATATAAACAGCAAAAAATCATAACATTATTTCGCAGCTTTCTTTATCATTCATAATTTTTTTTCATACATTGTGTGTGTTATAAAAAAGAAACTGTAAAAATACAACAAACTTTACATGCTCTCCATAAACTCAGTTACTAGATTCTGTAAGAAAAATAATCTTGAACTAAGGTTACACATTGTAAGATTTTATTGAGAAAACACCTTGATTATCTTGATTCTTCCTACTCTTGAGAACACACACACACACACACACACAAAAAAAAATCCATCTACACTCCTCTACAAACTCATGGACAACAGTGGACTGTTAATAGCACAGCAACTGTATTATTCTCTCAGTTACATGCTCAATGCCTCACTTGTGTGTGTTACAATACGGTTTATTGGTCCAAGGCCCTTTTCAGAGTCCCATTACATCACATGGCAAGGCAGAAGAGAAATACATCTCTAGCTTTACCACAACCAAGCCGCTCCTGTTGAATGCTTCACACAATGCCCTTTAAAAATAGAAAATAAGGGAGGGAAAAAAGACAGACTATTTCCTCTTTTAAGCTTGTCTAGTCTGAAGATAACAGGAAGAGCAATAAAAAGTCTGTCTTCAAGAATATAGAGCCTAAATGTTTTCAGCAAAAACCGCAAATTCGGGCCAGCAATATTCCACCAGACAGGTCAGTGGCAAAAGAGGCTACTAGGAGGGGGGCAAAAAAATTCATTAGACATGCTTAGAGACTAGACATACCAGTGCAGTGTGTGAAATCCCCACCCGATGTCCTGGTTTCTAACGCAATTCCTGCCCTCCTAAATTACATCACATTTAAATCTGATATTCAACAATTATGAATGATCTGCTACAAACAACTGCAAAAAAAAAAAAAAAAAAGCTTTGTGAATTTTTTTTGGACACGTCAAAAGTCATATGTTGTTCCCGTACAGTGCATAAAACGGCTAAGCAAAAACAGTGTTTCATAATGAGCTGCTGAAGGGCCCCACGGGTAATTGAATTGTAGACAAGAGTTCATTGAGGAGCATCTTAGCCCTTTCTCGGATACAAGTAAACAACCTTTTAAATGGGTCACGCCTCTCCGCCGCTGGCCTACCCGAGGCAGAGGAACACCAAGAAGTGGGTGGCAAGTTTGTGAATGCCAAACAATACAGTCTTCAATGGCTGTCCAACCTTTAGAAAGTAGGAAACATGTTAATTAGCACACTCTCCATGCAAGGGACAATTAAGCTCCGTGGCAAAGCACCAACACACACAGACAACAGCCTTTTACAGATCTGTTAGAACCCGACGACCATTTTAAATAGTCACATTATTGCATGATATTCAGTGGTGAGGTGATGTCATCCAGCAGGATCGTGTCCACTCTTTGCATAGTTTTGACGGAGACTGCCTGGCATGTGATATGGAGGTGACACCCTGACGGTTTTTGATTTTTTACTATTTTTAGTGTTTATGAGCAGAGGCTTTGCAGGTGGTTTGCCCCCTCGGTGTAGAGCTGATTAAAATGCGGTTGAGGGTTTGGGGGGGATTTGTTGAGCCTGGGGAACAGTGCTGGCTTTTGTCTTGACCACGTTTAATACTTGTGCAAAACTGGGCTCCTCTAGACGTTTTCTGCTTCTGTAAAACCTGTGATCTGCCGAAATCCCAACCTTGCACCTACTTGGATGCAAATCTGTACTTCTAATTTAATTTCCCTATGTGCCACTCATAACTTACGTAAGTATATGGGTAGAAAAAATTCATTTTGAAATGTAATATGCAAAATGCCAATGCAATATGTAAAATGGCAATGTATTTCTTTAAGTTTACATTTTCCCATACATATGTGCAACATTCAGTGCAAAATGAAAATTAAATTATATAATTTACACTAGTTTTAATATGTAAATTAAAAGCATATTTTAATGGTTTATAAGTTGCAAAATTAAAATGAAATTGTATTACCTAAATTGAATAGATATGTTTAACAAAGCAAAAAATGTCACAAAATTATCATTTAATTTAAATTAAATCATCATCATTTAAATGCCATTTTTCCTAAATGCATTTAGACTTACGGGTAAGGATACATGGGATTGCATTTTCATCGTTATACCGTGTGATAGTGTAGTTCAAGTCGATGGGGATTTGAAAATGCATTCCGAGCCGATCACGCCCCCAACCTGTCAATCATTATATCAAGGCGGGGCTCAGCAACAAGACCCACAATAGGTCAATATTCACCATTAACCAAAAGCTTTTCACCTGCCTCAACATCTCTCACCGTTTTGCATTCCGATTGATGCACATAAGCAAATAGACAGTTTGCAATGCAATTCTACATTTATTTACTTGCCACCTTACACCGTGGCTACACCGGATGCGACAGTTGTCGTGTCGCACCGCATCCAGTGTAGACAGCATCGCTGATTATAATGGGTTCAATACTGTCGTTTGTTGCGCCGCTCGCATCCGGTGTAGACACGGTGTTGCCTTCCTCTTTTCTAACTAGGGATGTAACGATTAACCGTGAGCCGGTTGAAAATCGATTCTAATGTGTGACGATTCAAATCGGTTGAGATGCTAAACAAATTGCGATTCATTTAGAGGTAGGAGTTTATATGAAAGCACAGGTGCATCTCAATAAATTAGAATGTCGTGGAAAAGTTCATTTATTTCAGTAATTCAACTCAAATTGTGAAACTCGTGTATTAAATAAATTCAATGCACACAGACTGAAGTAGTACACTTATTTGATTTGGGGCTAGTTTTAAAATGTCAATGTAGTTTTGTTATTTACATTTACACTACATTTAAATTTAGTCATTTAGCAGACACTTGTATCCAAAACGACTTACAAATGAGGACAATAGAAGCAATCAAAACCAACAAAAGAGCAATAATTTACAAGTGCTATATTAGTCTATTATTATAGTGTTACATTTCAATTTCACAAAGAAACGTGCAACATTGTCCAAGCAAAAATAAAAGGACACATTTAATTTATAATTTGTCTTAAATCTCATTTTGTAAAAAAAAAAAAAAAATTGTGAATCGAATCTTGAGTTGAGTGAATTCTAACCCATAATAGAGCGCGCGTCCCGTGGCACAAGCGTCACACGCATGCCTTCACCAGTCCCATTTAGACGCAGTTGTCACAGAACATGCCACAGCCAAAGTGAGATGACTTAATATTAAAAATCACGGGCATCAATCGCGGTGTCCGGTAGCTGTAAAAAAATAAAATATGTAAGGTGGTAAATAAGTGTAGAATTTGCTTACGTGCATCACTCGGCGTGCAGAGTGAGATGTGCGACGCACCTGCAACGTTTAGGTGCTCGGGGACACGCGATCCATTATAGGAGAAGAATAAAGTATGGTACTCAGTTGTGAGTGAGGGGCAAAGCAAGACCGAGAAAGATGGTGTCAAAATCATGGTGTCAACTCAAATGTCACAGATTCTCTAATTCAGACAGTGGGCAGGCGGGGTGAAAATGGCAGACAAACGGCACTTTAACACTGCTTGATTAAAGAAATCATGCAAAGACTACCTCTGAGAGACTACCTAAACCCTAGAATATTCACACACACAAAAAAAAAGATACCAAAAGCTGCATCTGAAGGGGCATATATGCCTACCATGAAAGGGGCATAAATACAGTTACAACTGCAGAAATGGTGTTACATATCAATGCTTAAGACTGAGAGGGTTGTGCATTGCTCATGACATACAAGAAACTGTT